TATGGTGATTAACGTAACACAAGAAAAAAAAAAACTCAATCTATTAACAGGCTGAAATCCTATCTCTTACTAGGTTGTAGAGCTAACATTTGGATTCATGTGAAATATACTAAACCATGTTGTGTGTCAGATATCAAGTTGCATGCTGTCCCATGCACCTGTTATATTGTTTTCTTAAGATATTTTGTCATTTCATACACTCTTTTCTTGCAGGGAGAAATGTTCTCCTTGAAACTTCCCTGTATAAACGTGAAAAATAAAAGGATGGTGTAAATATTTTCCAAACCAGATCACTGTATTTTTCAATTTGGAATTAAAGTTTTACTTTGATAATTACTTCACTATGACAATCATCCTGCCATCAAGGTGTATTTAATTATTATTTTTTAAATAGTAATGACCATAAATGGCTGACACCAAAACAGAGACATCTTTTAGAAAATGCCATTCTAAAAAACCCTAACTGCAAAATATGGTACTTGGGATGGTCTATTATTTCCTTCAAGACAGTAGGGGGAGAAGGAATAATGGCAGCATCAAAAGTAATAGTAATAATAAAAAGTTAATTCATAGATAAAGTAACTCAGATACAATGTTATTGAATGTTTTCAAATATACACAATAATTAATATAAATTAAGGCCAAATATTAAAAGAGACTATATTTATGAATTCACCTAAGACAATCACATTTATTCCTAAGAACATATAGAAAGCCCCCAAAGTCTGAGGATTTACCTACTCTGACCCCAGAAGTCTAATGACCAGCAAGTGCTGATAAAAACAGATGATGTTAGATACAGACTCTCTGGAAATGAATATAGTGAAAGTTATATAGTCCCATCTGCATTATTTTTTGAGTTCCTGTCTAGAGACTATGCATATTTTTTTTTAAAGATTTTATTTATTTATTTGAGAGAGAGAGCACATGAGAGGGGGGAGGGTCAGAGGGAGAAGCAGACTCCCTGCCGAGCAGGGAGCCCGATGCGGGACTCGATCCCGGGACTCCAGGATCATGACCTGAGCAGAAGGCAGTCGCTTAACCGACTGAGCCACCCAGGCGCCCGAGACTATGCATATTAAAAAAAAAAAAAAAACTAATGTCCAACTAGTCTCATTTTCCTCAAGTTCTCATGAATTATATGTCTTCTATTCATTAGATATCATGAATTGCTTTAGTTATTTTTAAAAACCTCCAAGTTCAAAACAATAGTATTTGGGAATATTTGATTCAGCAGCTTTCCTGATGGGGCAGCGGAAAAAATGAAAAATGACTGATGAAGTGACGACATTCATTTAAGCCACTGGTAAATATCACATTATTCTCTGGAGATAAGTGGGATTACCACTTTTCTCATATATATGCACAGTCACAAGTACACATGTGAGCAACAGTGAAAAAGAAACAAAAAAAAACTAATGTTCTAAGGGTACTACTAGGAAAAGAAAGTTCATTATACCCAAAGCAAAAAATAATTTATATATACATAAATATATATATATACACACATACACATACATTGCACACCTATATGTTTTAAGGTATGTATATATGTATGCTATACATATATGTATATATCCTAAGACAACTCCTGACAATAAAAGTTAGCTATTATATGAAAATAAAAACAAAATGTTGTCAGCAAAAATACTATTAAAATAGTAATATGTATAAATCGAACCCCTCTCATGAACTTAAAGAAAACAAGTTGCTTTATTAATGATAATTGTAGCAATACAGTAGTTAACTTGGCTTGTCATTGGTTTCCATATTTTTCTCCATGGGTAAATGTGTCAGAAAGTAAAATACAGATTTATGTCCAAATAATTCCTTACACTCAGGAGCAAATCTTTCCCCAGCATTTGACAGGTATTAATTAAGAGCACAAAACAAAGATGATTTCTTTAGGCTTGGCTTAAGTTAAAGTTTGACAGAGCACTGACAATTTAATCCACCTCTTCAGGTTATGTGGAAATCCAGTGCAAGTGTTGGGATTAGAAAGCCAGATTAACTGATCTTCTATGCTAACCACAAACCCCTTTTCTCAGGGGGACTTTTTTCCCCCCTGGTTTTGAGAAATACCATATGCCTATAGTAAAGAGACATTAGCATAAGAAAAACTGGATCAGATTTTATTAATCCTATGAGATTCTAGATGGTCTTTCTTAATATCAGTAGAAATCATGGCTCCAGTCTTCAGGGTACAACTCTAAATAGACAGTAAAGAATAAGGATGTAGGGGCACCTGGGGGACTCTTAATTTTGGCTCAGGTCACGATCTTGGCGTCCAGGCTCCTGGAAATGGAGCCTGCTTAAAGATTCTCTCTCTCCCTCGGCCCCTCCCCACCTCATGTGCATGTACTCTCTCTCTCTAAAGATAAATAAATTAAAAAAAAATAAGGAGGCAAAAACCAGAATCCTGGAATTTGATTCAAAGTGTTCTTTCCCATGAGATGGGATGCTGAAAACCAACCACTATGCCTAGACTCCAGACTCTCTTGCTGAATCCAATCTGAGAACTCTATAAGCACTCAAATCTGAAAGTGTAAATTTCTTCCATTGCTTTCTGTGAGTAAAATTTTTAAACTTTCTTTCTTTGGCTTTTAAACTTGTTGCCTGGATTATTATTTTGGGAAACTAAGCAATTTCAGAAACAGTCTTTTCTGGTAACAAGAACATACGAATAGAGATACAATTCCTGGAGCATAGTTACTACCTGGAGTGTAAATTACACTTGTGGACATTTTTAAACATATATTTTATATATAAGTCAGAGCCCATCATGTCATTGTTTTACATGAACAATTTTAAAATGCATAATATTCACTGCCCAGACCTGAGCGTTTTATGTTTTACTCTGATGATATAAATTACTATAATGAAATAAACTTTTAAGCCTAATCATCACTGAGAAAAATGTACCCCAACAACTAAATATCTCAAAGTATTTCATTCCTTTAAAAACTAATTTAACTGCCTTATCTTTAAACCTCTTGGTAAATTTTCTGATTCAATTTTGATCTGAAATTTTTCCTCAAGCATATTAAACTCATCAAGTGCTTAGAAGCTTCAGTTCTGGAGTGGAGTTTTCTAACTTTCTTGTTTAATGGTGAATGATGATGGAAGATACAATATAAAAATATCTCAGCCTAAGAAGCTAAGAAACCATAATAATTCCCCATATACTGCTCTAAAAAATAATCAGATGTCATGTCCAACAGCACCAGCAAGTACTGAGATACAGGTTAAGATTTTAAAAGTATAATTCTCCCAAATCCAGATATGACACTAGTGATAGTTTAGATTAATAGATGATAGGCAGAGCAGATAGAAGATTAGATACAGATAGATGATAGATAAATAGATGACAGATGATAGAAGATAGATGATAGATGATAGATAGATATAGATGATAGATGATAGATAGATAGATGATAGATAGATAGGTGATAGATGATAGATGATAGATGATAGATAGATAGATAAATGATAGATGATAGATGATAGATAGATAGATAGATAGACACATAGACAGATGACTAATTAGATGTGCTGGCAAGAAAATGCACCAGGGAACATCTCTAGCAGCTTTCATTCTGAGAAACTGTTTAAAGGACAGACCTCTAACCTATTGGAGTTTTCCTGTCAATCCATGCTTGTGGCACATAGAAGGATAGACACATAGAAGGCTTCCCCCATGGGTCCCTTGGTTCTAGGAGGGTTACAAACACTGAGATAATACAAATTGGCTCTGGGGCTTACAGTTGTGGGATGAATAAGTCATGGGGATAAAAGTTACAACATAGAGAATATAACCAATGGTATTATAGTGTTGTATGGTGACAGATGGTAGGCACACGTGGTGGGCACAGCATAACATATGGAGATGTTGAATCACTATGTTATATACCTGAAATTAATGTAACACTGTGTATCAACTATACTCAAATTAAGTCTTTTTTAAAAAGTTAGGGGGAAAAACTATACCTAAATCATGTAAGGATATACTCAATTACAGCAAATCTACCATACATAAGAAAGTGGTCTGTTTTTTTCTAAATCATTGTCATCACATGGAATGCATTGGTCATGTCATTTCATCATGTAAAGCACGTGATGCTACTGTGGCATTTCATCTGTCATAAGTTTATGATTCATAGATTTCAACTATCACAAAATATAAAGCTATATTATTTTAAAAAATTGGCTCTGGGTTCTGTGATTCATGTTAGTTCATGGTTCTTTGTGGTAATTATGGGGAACCTTATCCAGTGATAAGGACAGAAATCGGCCATTTTCAAAAGCTGATTTTCTCATTTGAGATTATTAAATGAAACTAACAACTACCTTGCATTCAGCATCCAGTGTAACAGATTAAATTGGAGAAGGAAATGGGTATGATTTAGAGTCTGAATTCAGATACCTGAAGCAGAAGAGCACAGGCCAAGGAATGAGCTGAGTATAGACATGGGCCATGAGAAAACGGGCAAGGAATACAATTCTGTAGCCCAGGAGATGTAGAAATGGAAATGTAAGATCTGAGCATTTCTGTTAATCTCAGAATGCAAGATACTTGCCCAGTGGCCCAGTAAGGCCAAGGAGAACTAAGCTGCTCCATAAAGTGAAGCCAGCAATTCCTGGCCACAAGGGCAGGCGAGGCAGAGGACTGGGTTCTTGGGCAGCTTTAATATGATCACTTGTTTCAGTCTAATGACCTGAAGGTTAGCAAAGGTGGATGAAGATCACTTGCCAAACACAGTTTGGTATTGGAAAAAGAAATAGTTTAAGAGTAGATATGTCCTCTGTAATAGATATACAAGCTGGTAAAATATTTTTCAGAATCCAGCAGACCTTTAGACAGTAAGCTGTTTTGTTTTGGGTTTTGCAAGCCTAAATTTATCCTTAATCTTGTTTTCTGGAGAAAAGGTATGTGTTAATCTACCTTACTTGCTCAGAGCATATCAATTCCCCTTAAACAGTACACTAAAATTTCTAGAAGAGGTACACTTAAATCTGTGAAACGCTATCTACAACAAGAGCCTCTGTGAGTGTCAATAAGATAGGTTACCTACCTCAGAAATTCTAGCATGGCAGAGGAGCATATCCGCATCCTTTTTGTATGTCCTTACTACTTCCTGGAAGAAATGAGAAAAAGGATGTTGGGAAATGTTGAGCCTTGCCACTCAAGCTAAGCAGTTTTAAGATTTATTTATTTATTTGAGAGAGAGAGTACATGAGAGGGGGGAGGGTCAGAGGGAGAAGCAGGCTCCTCGCTGAGCAGGGAGCCTGATGTGGGACTCGATCCCCGGACTCCAGGATCATGACCTGAGCTGAAGGCAGTCGCTTAACCAACTGAGCCACCCAGGCGCCCAAGCTAAGCAGTTTTAAATATAGGTAAGATAAAATCTGTTCTTTTTTTTAATTTTATTTTATTATGTTATGTTAGTCACCATACATTACATCATTAGTTTTTGGTGTAGTGTTCCATGATTCATTGTTTGCATATAAAACCCAGTGCTCCATGCAGAACGTGCCCTCTTTAATACCCATCACCAGGCTAACCCATCCTCCCACCCCCCTCCCCTCTAGAACCCTCAGTTTGTTTCTCAGAGTCCATAGTGTCTCATGGTTCGTCTCCCCCTCCGATTCCCCCCCCCTTCATTTTTCCCTTCCTGCTATCTTCTTTTTTTTTTTAAGATATAATATATTATTTGTTTCAGAGGTACAGGTCTGTGATTCATCAGTCTTACACAATTCACAGGGCTCAACATAGCACATACCCTCCCCAATGTCTATCACCCAGCCACCCTCCCTCCTACCCCCCACCTCTCCAGCAAGCCTCAGTTTGTTTCCTAAGATTAAGAATTCCTCATATCAGTGAGATCATATGATACTTGTCTTTCTCTGATTGACTTATTTTGCTTAGCATAATACCCTCTAGTTTCATCCATGTAGTTGCAAATGGCAAGATTTCATTTTTTTTGATGGCTGCATAATATTCCATTGTATATATATACACCACATCTTCTTTATCCATTCATCTGTCGATGGACATCTTGGCTCTTTCCATAGTTTCGCTATTGTGGACATTGCTGCTATAAACATTGGGGTGCACGTACCCCTTCAGATCTCTACATTTGTATCTTTGGGGTAAAGACCCAGTAGTACAATTGCTGGTCGTAGGGTAGCTCTATTTTCAATATTTTGAGGAACCTCCATACTGTTTTCCAGAGTGGCTGCACCAGCTTGCATTCCCACCAACAGCGTAGGGGGGCTCCACTTTCTCTGCATCCTTGCCAACATCTGTCGTTTCCTCACTTGTTAAGTTTAGCCATTCTGACTGGTGTGAGGTGCTATCTCATTGAGGTTTTGATTTGGATTTCCCTGATGCCCAGCAATGTTGAGCACTTTTCATGTGTCTGTTGGCCATTTGAATGTCTTCTTTGGAAAAATGTCTGTTCATGTCTTCTGCCCATTTCTTGATTGGATTATTGGTTCTTTGGGTGTTGACTTTGATAAGTTATTTATAGATTTTTGGACACTAGCCCTTTGTCTGATATGTCATTTGCAAATATCTTCTCTCATTCTGCCAGCTGTCTTTTGGTTTTGTTAACTGTTTCCTTTGCTGTACAAATCTTAACTTGATGAGGTCCCAAAAGTTCATTTTTGCCCTTGTTTCCCTTGCCTTGGGCGATGTTACTAGGAAGAAGTTGCTGCAAATGAGGTCAAAGAAGTTGCTGCCTGTGTTCTCCTCTAGGATTTTGATGGATTCCTTTCTCACATTTAGGTCTTTCATCCATTTTCAGTCTATTTTTGTTTCTGATGTAAGGAAATGGTCCAATTGCATTCATCTGCATGTGGCTGCCCAATTTTCCCAACATTTGTTGAAGACACTGTCTTTTTTCCATTGGACATTCTTTCCTGCTTTTTGAAGATCAGTTAACCATAGAGTTGAGGGTCCATTTCTGGGCTCTCTATTCTGTTCCATCGATCTATGTGTCTGTTTTTGTGCCAGTACCATACTGTCTTGTTGATGACAGCTTTGTAATAGAGCTGGAAGTCTGGAATTGTGATGCCACCACCTTTGCTCTTCTTTTTCAACATTCCTCTGGCTATTCGGGGCTTTTCTGGTTCCATACAAATTTTAGGATTATTTGTTCCATTTCTTTGAAAAAAGTGGATGGCATTTTGATGGGATTGCATTAAATGTATAGATTGCTCTAGGTAGCATTGACATCTTCACAATATTTGTTCTTCCAATCCATGAGCATGGAACGTTTTTCCATTTCTTTGTGTCTCCCTCAATTTCTTTCAAGAGTATTTTATAGTTTTCTGAGTACATATCCTTTGTCTCTTTGGTTAGATTGATTCCTAGGTATCTTATGGTTTGGGGTGCAATTGTAAATGGGATCGACTCCTTAATTTCTCTTTCTTCTATCTTGGTGGTGGTGTATAGAAATGCATCTGATTTCTGTGCACTGATTTTATATCCTGCCACTTTACTGAATTCCTGTATGAGTTCTAGCTGTTTTGGGGTGGAGTCTTTGGGGTTTTCCACATAAAGTATCATATCATCTGCAAAGAGTGAGAGTTTGATTTCTTATTTGCTGATTCAGATGCCTTTTATTTCTTTTTGTTGCTTGATTGCTGTGGTTAGGACTTCTAGTACTATGTTGACTAGCAGGGGTGATAGTGGACATCCCTGTCATGTTCCTGACCTTAGGGGGAAAGCTCTCAGTTTTTCCCCATTGAGAATGATATTTGCTGTGTGTTTTTCATAGATGGCTTTTATGATATTGAGGTATGTACCCTCTATCCCTACACTCTGAAGAGTTTTAATCAAGAAAGGATAGTACAACATGTCAAATGCTTTTTCTGCATCTATTGAGAGGATCATATGGTTCTTGTTCTTTCTTTTATTAATATATTGTATCACATTGATTGATTTGCAGATGTTGAACCAACCTTGCAGCCCAGGGATAAATCTGACTTGGTCGTGGTGAATTATCCTTTTAATGTACTGTTGGATCCTATTGGCTAGTATTTTGGTGAGAATTTTTGCATCTGTGTTCATCAGGGATATTGATCTGTAATTCTCCTTTTTGATGAGGTCTCTGTCTGATTTGGGGATCAAGGTAATGCTGGCCTCATAAAATGAGTTTGGAAGTTTTCCTTCCATGTCTATTTCTTGGAATAGTTTCAGAAGAATAGGTATTAATTCTTCTTGAAATTATTGGAAGAATTCCCCTGGGAAGCCATCTGACCCTGGGCTCTTGTTTATTGGGAGGTTTTTGATGACTGCTTCAATTTCCTTAGTGGTTATAGGTCTGTTCAGGTTTTCTATTTCTTCCTGGTTCAGTTTTGGTAGTTGATACATCTCTAGGAAAGCACCATTTCTTCCAGATTATCTAATTTGCTGTCATATAGTGGCTCATAATATGTTCTTATAATTGTTTGTATTTCATTGGTGGTTGTGATCTCTCCTGTTTCATTCATGATTTTATTTATTTGGGTCACTTCTCTTTTCTTTTTGATAAGTCAGGCCAGGGATTTATCAATCTTGTTAATTCTTTCAAAGAACCAGCTCCTAGTTTCGTTGATCTGTTCTACTGTTCTTTTAGTTTCTATTTCATTGATTTCTGCTCTGATCTTTATTATTTCTCTTCTCCTGCTGGGTTTAGGCTTTATTTGCTGTTCTTTCTCCAGCTCCTTTAGGTGGAGGGTTAGGTTGTGTACTTGAGACCTTTCTTGTTTCTTGAGAAAGCCTTGTATTGCTATATACTTTCCTCTTAGGACTGCCTTCGCTGCATCCTAAAGATTTTGAACAGTTGTGTTGTCATTTTCATTGGTTTGCATGAATTTTTTAAATTCTTCTTTAATTTCCTGGTTGACCCATTCATTCTTTAGTAGGATGCTCTTTGCTTCCATGTGTTTGAGTTCTTTCCGACTTTCCTCTTGTGATTGAGTTCTAGTTTCAAAGCATTGTGGCCTGAAAATATGCAGGGAATGATCCCAATCTTTTGGTCCTGGTTGAGACCTGATTTGTGACCCAGGATGTGATCTATTCTGGAGAATGTTCCATGGGCATGAGAGAAGGATGTGTATTCTGTTCCTTTGGGATGGAATGTTCTGAATATATCTGTGAAGTCCTTTTGGTCCAGTGTGTCATTTAAAGTCTTTGTTTCCTTGTTGATCTTTTGCCTAGATGATCTGTCCATTTCAGCAAGGGGGCTGTTAAAGTCCCCTACTATTATTGTATTGTTGTAGATGTGTTTCTTTGCTTTTCTTATTAATTGGCTTATATAATTGGCTGCTCCCATGTTAGGGGCATAGATATTTACAATTGTTAGATCTTCTTGTTGGATAGACCTTTTAAGTAGAATATAGTGTCCTTCCTCATCTCTCATTATAGTCTTTGGTTTAAAATCTAATTTGTCTGATATAAGGATTGCCACCCCAGCTTTCTTTTGATGTCCATTAGCTTGGTAAATGCTTTTCCACCCCCTCACTTTCAATCTGGAGGTGTCTTTGGGTCTAAAATGAGTCTCTTGCAGGCAGCATATCAATGGGTCTTGTTTTTTTATCCAATCTGATAGCCTGTGTCTTTTGATTGGGGCATTTAGCCCATTTACATTCAGGGTAACTATTGAAAGATATGAATTTAGTGCCATTGTATTGCCTGTAAGGTGACTGTTACTGTATATTGTCTCTCTTCCTTTCTGGTCTATGTTACTTTTAGGCTCTCTCTTTGCTTAGAGGACCCCTTTCAATATTTCTTGTAAGGCTGGTTTGGTGTTTGCAGAGTCTTTTAGTTTTTGTTTGTCCTGGAAGCTTTTTATCTCTCCTTCTATTTTCAATGACAGCCTAGCTGGATATAGTATTCTTGACTGCATATTTTTCTTGTTTAGTGCTCTGAATATATCATGCCAGTCCTTTCTGGCCTGCCAGGTCTCTGTGGATAGGTCTGCTGCCAATCTAATGTTTCCACTGTTGTAGGTTACAGACCTCCTGTCCCTAGTTGCTTTTGGGATTTTCTCTTTGTCTCTGAGACTTGTAACTTTTACTATTAGATGTTGGGGTGTTGACCTATTTTTATTGATTTTGAGGGATGTTCTGTGTGCCTCCTGGATTTTGA